ATGCGGAAACTTGGAACTTTTTCATCGATCAAATTCATCCGGTAATACCGTCGCTGTGGCCCCTTTGACACATCTGCGACGCTACTTTTACGTTAGAGTTTACCCACAAGTCGTAGTCTGCATCAATTGAATTGCAATTTTTGAGGATGTGCTTTAAAATACTTGGAAATTAAATTTATACGATATCTGTACCAATAGTCCAATGGATTTCTCTTGAAATTTCTTACAAATGTCAATTGGAAGCGATTATAATAATGTCAATTGGTTTCCATCTTATACAAGGAAGAAATTGGTTTTCTTTCACCTTTGGATATAGGTTAGGTTAAGATTTGACGAGGCTAACCGTTTAAGATTTTATATTTAAAAAAATATGTGTAACATGTTAAATGTTATAAAATTTTCTTTTCATTTTAGGTTACATATGAATTACCCTAGAAATTTCTCCTTAACTGTAGGTTAGCTTTAAGAACGCTCAAAAATTTATTTCGAAGTGTATCAGCTCTAGACAATCACAAGTTTATCTTCAAATCTAACTCGAATTTAGATGTCGTAAAACGGTTTATCTTTGTATCTAAGTTAGGTTTGACTTAACATTCAAGAGTTCTTTTATTACACTATTTTATCTTGGTCTGTTTCAGGCCACGTTCAGGTTAGGTTGCTTCCTCTAGCAGAAGCTAGGTCAGCCATCGTTTATCGTTCGTTGCGGATGCACCGTCAGCAATAAATAAACAAATGTATCGTGCTTCATAAATTTTCCCCGTTGCTCGAATTTCCCTTATCAAGGTGAGGCAGAAGGGCGAAATTCTCGCTTCCTCGCCCTTTCAAAATGACCTCGTTCAAATCTTCTCGCCGGTCGACTCGTTAATAGTACGAATCAATGAACTTTTACGACGGATCTTCAATCAACCTTGTTTCTAACCTAAAGTAAAACATTTAATATTTTTTAACTATAATAGAAATTGGAAAATTTCAAACTTTTTCATCCTTTTCAAATTCTCTGTACTTAAGGCAGATTCGTGTCGATAGGATTCTACGTTAAATTAGTTTCACCGAGAGCACGTGGTTAATGGAAAAGTTCCTAGATTCTGTGAAACTTTTCACAGAGAGGTTAACGCACCGTTTAATGACCATTTTTAAGACGATTTCATAAAGATTCATCACCTGTTAATCGTAGATTATTTGGAGTAAAGAAAGTTTTTCAATGAACTATCGAGTTCGAGCATGTTTTAATCGTGTCTCGCGGAAGCAGGACGGGATATTAACTTAACCTTCAAAAACACACTTAAAACAGGGACTAAAATTCCCTGCTTCGTGGGTGGGAAAAAATTGCGACTTGGTGTGTAGGAGGGAGGGTTGGATCGCGAATAAAATTTGCATAGCATAAAAGGGGAATCTCCGGAGAAGTGTTTTCATCTAAAGCTTCTTAAAAGCTTCGCTAATTATTCTTATACCTTGTTTCTAAAAACATGTCAATCATCAATAATTCATTTTGCAGTTTCACCCTGTTATTTCTTCCATAATTTCTCGAAGGAGTAAACAGAAATATAACAAGCGATTTTAGCAATGATTAATTATTGGGAAGATAAAACGATTTTCCAAGAGGAAAATTTTCATTTTGCTGTTTCGTCATTTTTTGGCGAATTTCCATGGCGAGATTAGAATTCCAATTAGTCGCTAGATGGCGCCACGGTTGAATAGCGCGCGAAACTTTCGCAATATTGCAGGTGATGTTCGAGCGTGCATGAAACAATCGTGGACTCTTGGCCATTTCCCCTCTTTTTCCCCTCTTAGAAGTGTGATGGTATGTGATTTTTCCGGTTACGCGGTAATGAGCGGGGAAAACGGCTCGTCAGTATGCGGCGGTACTTCTCTGCGATACCGGACACGTACGTGGCCCGAGGCCATTCGTACGTGTTTCTCGAGAGGAGATAAAGGAGATGATAAAGATGGAATTTGAACAAATTTTGGAACAAGCAAGTTTCAAGTTACATTTTTATGAGAACACGTCCAAAGTCCTTTCACGTCATCCCGAACGACGTTTGTAGAAATTGTGGCAACGATGGCAGACAGTTTCCCTCCTTTTTTTTCGAATAAAGTATATAAATTATACTGTCTTTGCGATTCGTTTTCATGAAAATGCGATCAAGCGCCCAAAATGGCGTTCCAAAGGATTTTTCTTGAAGTTCAAGCCTTAATAATAATGTCAGAAGTGAGAAAATCATTGTGTATAATAATTAACCTATAATTTCGTATGTCTGGTTATTATTGCCGTAGAAACGTGTCGAAAATTTCAAAATGTGTTTAGAATGGATATCATCCAGATTCCAGCATCAACGGACACAGTATAGAGTAGAAAATAGTCGTGAATGATGACCTACTGCTTTTGCAGTGGCTTTTCCAGAATGCAATCAGAATACCGGAAGTCGAGACTTTCGTGAGGATGAGCTCGCAAACTCCACCGGTTGTTTGTTGCCGACTGATGCGAACACTAGGTTCCCTCCTATCCGCATTGTTTCTTTGAGCTTCCAATTCCAACGGGAACTCTGTTTCAGTGCACGAATACTACCTTTAATCACGTTATCGTCCACGTACAAATATTGGGACGCGTATTTTTAAGGTTAGGAAATTTTTCCATTGAATTTTCAACTGTTCTTTGCTAAAAAAGGATCTTTTTCGATGTTAGGTAATTTTTCTATGAAATTTTCAACATTTCCTTGTTAAAATAGGTCACTTTTGAGGTTAGGTTGTTTTCCAATGAAACGTCTTCTTCTTCACTTCACTTATTTAAACAATTTTCCTTGTTCAATCAGTCTCAAGCTGTTTTGCTATACATCAGTCAGATTTCGAACTTTTACGATAAAAAGTGGTGCCTATTATCACACTATGTCGTTTTACTTTAATAAAAATATCTTCGTAACCTTTACCGGCGAGGTTATGTTATTTTTTAACGGGTTATGGCCACGGAGGGAAATAGAAAGACCAAAAGTGTCGTTCTCGATGACCGGGACCTGGGGTAAGTAGAATGGCTTGGAGTAAGGAAATGATCAGACAACGCTCAGAAATTCCATTAGCGCGGAGAGGCGCGAGGGCAACATTTTTATACGCGTCAGGGCTACTTTTGCGCGTCAAGAGCACCTTGAATAATTTATTCGCGAGTGCCATTCACAGAGAGCGCCGCTTTGTTCATCAACGATTATCCTCGCTGTTTACAGCCTTGCGTAATCCCTCCTCCCTGTCACTCCGCCCCCTGCCACTCAGATGTCCATTCTACATCCTCCGCCATAGTGACGTCTTTCGTCATTCTTTCAGATCCGTGCTATTTTTCTACCTTGAAAGAAATGGCACCTCTTTGAATTTCAAATAAGGCTACGTGTTAGCATAAATATTTATTTAGAGATTCTACTAGTACGTGGTTTTGAATTTTGTGTTTCACTTCTCATTCAGTTGTCCAGGTATGTTTTTCTTTTCTTCAAGAAAATGGCACTTTTTAAAATTCCGAGCTAAATGTGGATAAATGTAACGGAACGTTTATGAAATTTCAGATCAATTAGAATCTCTGTACTTTATTTTCTTGTCTCACTTTAATAGCATTGTCTTACAAGGCATGAAAAGCCATTCAATTTTTATTGTAAACGTTTTCTTACATCTACTATAGTTTTAAAGATATACAGGGAAATAGGGCTACGCTTGTCTTCATTCAAGGGCTGTTTTCACCCCGAAGAACCGAAAAAGGGCCGAAAAAAAAAATTGCCAGATACTTCTCTCGAGATTCCCTACAAACCTGCAATGTTTGAAAAAAAATCGGAATTTTCGGGTTACCGAAGATCCGTTGGCAATGGTGCAAAAATTCTCATAGAAATCTTTTAATCAAATTTTTCTAATTAAAAATAAACGGTACTTCAATGTTCCAAGTGAAATTTCGACGAATACTGGAATAAAAATTGTACGCAAAGTCGCGCGAAATTACGGTTAATTTCCGATAATTTGTAAAAATCTCTGATTCGTTATTTCGTCGAGCGCCGAGGAGGTTCCCTCGGAGAAAAATGGCCACCAGAAGGGTGACTAAGAGCGATGAGGTTGCGGAACCGTAATTTTCTTCTTCATCCAGGCTTTTTCTTTGAGAGGATATCGCATGGAAGGACAAAGGGCGCATGCTGCGCAGACGACGCCAGACGTCGCCAGATAATAAATCGATAATTCGCCGGTGCGACTTCCTGGCCATAGGAAAAACCACACGGGATACCATTCAGCCCATATACCAAGCTTTCTTACAAATTCCAACTCGAATCTCTGTGATATTTCATTGTGTCGAATTAACGATGTCACATATCGTTCTTTTCATCTCACTGTTTCTTTGAAAAATGTATTAATTTTTTTAAACCGCTTCCCTTCTCTGAACTTTTTTGAATCTCTTTCATCTTCTATTCGTGGTGGATTAACGAGACTTAGTGCTTGTTCCCCTCTTTTCCCTTGCACGAACAATTTGGTATTTTCATTCGCGTTTTTATCGAATTATAGGAACTTAGTTTTTAATATTTCCTTCTGCTCCACAGTTCTATCAAATTCTCTCGATTATTATTCACGTTGATTTATCGAATCCCAGTTACCTGTTCCCATTATTCTATCAAGTTTGAGAGCTACAAGTAGTACTATGAATCAGTCAGAATGAAGAATGGACGAGGATCGTTAAAAGGAAACCACGACTGCAATTAGGTCAAGGTTAGAAAGTTCCAGAATGAGAAATTGACCTATTAAAGTGTTCTTTAATGAAAGAATGCTTGTCACCATGAAAGATGCGAGTTAGCTGAGCCCTAATTATCCTGGAAACTCGCTAAATTGAACCTAAAGTGATTTATAACGTAAGCTTGTAGTTACTCGCTATTCCTAACCTTAAAAAATCCTTTCAAATTTTAAATTGCTAGAAGAAATCACGATAAAATTGTCGTTTGTTTTTCTTGGTAATTTTGCTTTTACCGACAAAGGGTGTTGTCTGTTTGCAGGAAAAATGAAGCTCGAACTGATGGACAGGGAGAAAGGTCTGGAGCTCTTCGGGAAGTTTATACGAACGAAGAATCCAGAGAGTCTTCAGGGTGAGCAGGGGAAAGCTGGACCTGAGCCACTGCATCCGACCGACTCCAAACAGAAATTACAGGCGAGTCCTCAATTTTAACCCAAATCCCCAAAATATACAAAAACACACGGGTATCCCACTAATGAACAAAAAAAGAAATATATATATTCCACTTGTTTCAAAGTTTAAAATATTCGAGTCATCTTATTGGACGAAAATTACCTTTCACCTGAATGATATTTTGTTAATCTGAAAAAAGAACATCCACAATTTAGCAGTTTGTTATTCCACTACGTATACACATAATTCTCTCCCCAGATTTCAGTAAAAAAGCATAAATGAAATATCTTGCAAAATTTATTGTGCAACGAGAATATCTGTATTATTTAATTCCACGTCAAAAAGTATTTCAATTTTTTTTACAACGTAACACTTTAATTCCAGGGGATATTTTTTAACGAAGAAATAATTTTATTATTTTTGTATTGTATACTATTTGTTTTAATTTATTTTCCTTTATTTTATTTTTTTTTCATTTTTAACTACCTCTCAATGGTCCAGAATCTTATTTTCTCAATAAAGTAACGCTGACTCGCGTGGGTAAGCGTGTTTCAATAATAGACAGCCCGAAATAGAATCGAAGGCAAAGTTGAACCTCCTCCACCTTTCATATATTGATAGCCAGCCACCATCTTTCTTCTGGCGGCTGACATTAAGACTCTGGATCCTCGAAGGAGAAGAAACGTCCCGTGTGTACGTGATATCCACCTGCGCGTATCGATCCTTGGCTATTTTTAACGAGATTTTGCAACCCCTGCGCCGCTTCGGATTCCCTTGTTCCAGTCACGTGATCAGTTATCCCAACAACGGGGAATTTGTTCCTTTTTGTATGATCGAAAAAGCAATTTCTCCACTTGGAAATCGTTTTCCTCGTGGTGGATCTATTTTTAGGAATTTTTAAAATTCTACTTTCTTCTATTTTCAGTGATTGAATTTTTTACCATTCTGTCTAGATCTGAGTCTATAACTGATTTTATTCCAATTTTTACAATATCTGGGTCTCCTTTAATTATACAGAGACTAAATAAAAAATATTTTGGAAATCTGGGGCTAATAAATGAGACTACAAAATTTTAGAATTTTGAACAAATTGAGCGGTGAAAGTTCCTAAATCTAAAAATTGAGAATACTAGAATTTTTTATTCCACTGTACATAACTTTGAATTAAAAATTTTGTGTTACTCATACCTAAAACATATTGAATTCTTTAATGTGATTTTCAACGCCATTTTTACAAAAATCCTGTATCTATTCTCGAACACTGCCAAAATATAATAGCCAGGACGTCACAGTACAATGTCCATACCATAAAACACTCGAAACACTTTAATTTTTCCCAAAAACTTCGTTGAAGCTGTGTACATAGTATTTCACACATTTGGCGGGTTGCCTGGCGTCAGGCGCCTAACTCGTTCATCTTCGGAACTGCTTAACTGAAAAATGCAGCGAGGTAGGACATACATTCATATGACAAAAACTGTTCTTCCCATACCCCTCTAACACCGTGGGTACACAAAATTTCCTATAACCGCCGTGTAACTCACGGGAACAAAATATTCTCCGTTAAGTGAAATCCGTCGAAGTTGGTGTAAAGTTCGTGGCGAAAAAACCGGCTATAAATAACTTGCGCCGGATTAATTGAATTTCGTAGGAAAGTTTCGAATTTGTCCCTCGATTGGCAATTTATCATTTACGAAGGGATGAAGTTTGAATGAACCGCATCGGTGCATAAAACACGTAAGTCGTCGTGCAAACTCGCAATGTTTCCGCTCGATCGCCGTGGTTCCTACGCCCTGCCGCCCTTGCACCTGAGGTGCACAGGGAGGAACAGATGGGCGAAGTTGTTACCACACCGACCGCGGCCGTTTATTGGGAAAGTTCGCGGCCCGCTGCGGCCGCCCATTGTTTCCCGGAAGTTCGTTGGAAATTCCGCGGAAGAATCGACGCTTCAACTGCTCGAAACAGAAACATCCGTGACACTTTGCCGTTGAATTGGGCCACAGATTCGTTTTTACCTTTGCATAGAAAAATGGCGACTCAGTGTTTCCAATGTTGAAGATTCGATTTTTATTTCATTAAATGTACAATTTTGAGGGATTAATTTTTTTGTTGCTGTTTCATTGAGTTGTATAATTATTTTCAGGGCTTCAAAGTGTTATATGTGAAGCGAATATAATTTGGAATATTTTTTGTGAAAAATGAACGTTTTGGCGTTGAAGAATGTCATTGGGAAGGAGCGGACAGGGTCCGGAGGCAGTTATTTAGATCTAGATTGCACTTCTTTTTAGGTTAGTTTACATCAAGCATATCTTCAATGAAATGAACAATTTAATGTTAATATTCAATTGTTTGAATCCATCGTAAAATGGGGAAATGTTAGAATTTGGAAATTTGTTTATTTATTCATTTACGAATATAAAGTTTATAGACAACACGATTCATGGGAAAGGTACGCAGAAGAGACAGAAACAAATGAAAGAAAACATTAAATATTCAATACTACACTTTTGAAAATATTAAACGAAATATTAAATATTTGTAAATATGAAATTTTTAAAAACGTTGAACCAAATATTGAATATTTGGAAATATTGTTTAAAGGAACTTCAAATTAATATTGGGGAGAGGGGGAGAAAGAAGTTTGTGGAATAAATCGACATAGATTGTTGGACAAATTGGTCCGGAGGTTCTTCTCGAACGTGTCCCCGTTTCTCTTCCACAGAAGTGCCTGACGACTCTGGACCTGACGTCCTTGGGGGTCGGCTCCTGCGTTGGGACAGGGATGTACCTAGTCGCGGGGATGGTGGCGCGCACTGTCGCCGGGCCAGGCGTCGTCATCTCATTCATAATCGCGGCCATTGCTTCCATTTTTTCCGGTAAGTGAAACAAACAACAATTTTTTTTTAAATCTTGAAGAAAAAGAAATAAAGCAAGGTCATTCTTATGGAAGGAATTTTCTATACCTTTTACTGGATTGAGTCACGAGTAAGGTCGTTTCTTGGGTAAGTGTTGTAAGAGATGTTTTTAATAAAAAAAAAACAACGTTTATTTATTCTAGTACAAATGAATATTTATTTATATTAGAATATAATACTGAATTAATATTCGGAAAATATTATTCTGTCGCTCCGCGGAAAATTGAAAATCGACACCGACCAGAATCGTGGATTTCTCATTTTTCATACCCGAGAGAGAAATATTTGTAAAAAGGTTATACTATAAACAGCTGTGTAAGGGTGAGTATAGGTTTTTACAATGAAGCGTTGTTTCACCGTACGCTCGCGGCGTAAAAATTCCCGACCGTATTTACCGTGGCCCAGGGATTAGATTTACAGTGTTTGTATAGTGCTGGCTGTCGGATACGGTTCAGGGTCGCGATACATTGGAAAATCCATTTTCTTCTCGACTTACAGGCATTCCCAGCATCCGACCTCCTTTATAAATACCGAACGCGTTTTTCCTTATCCTGGAAAAATTGAAATATCACTCCAAGTTAAAAAAAGGAATTAACCAACGATGAAAGAATATTTTCTTTCGTAATTTTACAATATTTTTTTCGATCAATAAAAGTGAGGAAAATAATCGTCCTGTTTCACTTATCGTGGTCTCTGGTGCAAAGGAAATGCTGTTTCTTTATTGCCCCTGTAGAAGGCAACCGGTCACGCGCCTGGACCACGATCAACATGACTCTCTGGCGGCTGTACGTCTCTGACCGCCGACACATATGCCAGAGTGGTTCAAGGCGAGTGGAAAATAACGTCGGATTAGATTTACGGACAGCGCGGCGTGTCGGACCCGGTTCCATGCTTCGAGATACGTACTCGTGAACCCCGTAGCCATCTTGGACACCTATAGATGGTGGTTTCATTTATTTTAGCCGTCGTATCACTGTTACTTTTCGAGAAAGTTATTTCCTTTCACGTGAAGCACATAGTAGACAGTAATTATATTTTCCTGGCTCTTCTTGTTAATAATTATTATTAGATTTTTAGTAATATCGGCATGAATAAGTTTGACGAAAATTGAGTTTGTACGAGAAAACGAAGGGGTACAATTTTTTTATTTAGATTCAGAAACTAGAACCGTTTAAACTTTTCGTTTTAATCGTGGCATTTATGAAAAAAGTTTTTGCGAATTTGCGCCATTTCCTTCTCTTTTGAATAGGTCGAGATAAATGAAACAGCCTGTACCGTGAAGTTCTCGCCGGTTCTTTTGTGATGCCGCGATTTTTTCTTGATTTCTCCGATCTATGATCCCTTTTCGGGGAACAGGGAAACATGAGGGGTCGGTCGAATTGAAGGAAGTCAGGGAACCAGAACGCTTGGGGATTATGAAGACTGCGGGTGGGCGGGGTTTCCTTTGTGCAGCGCCGTTGGATGCACTGCACGCTCCGGTAAATTCGTTCCTGTTGTCTCACGGCATTGTGTCCCTGCAAACAAGTGTACAGCTAGTTTCAAAAGTGAACCCTGTGAGAAAATTTATTTCTACAAAATGTTACTTATTTCGATCTTTTTAATTGAAAATTATCGTGTTTAAAGCTTTTCGAACGATTAAATATTTCTTTTTCTGATTATCTTTAACACTATCATCTGAAAAAGAGAAAGATGAAATATAATAGCAATTCTTCATATTCGATACGTTTCATCTTGTTTTAGAAGTAAGTATTAAGTTCTATTGTTATATACTTTTACACGCTATATAAATATTGACTTTGCTTTATAAGATAGCGTTTGAATTTTTGCATTTTACACATTCATTTCGAAATTATGATCATTTGAATTTAGAAAGTTTCAACTAGTTTCAACTTCCACTACATTTTTTAAAACTTCTCCATCATATTTCCTACAAATAATTGTGCCTTTATATCTTAGGTCATATAGAATGATGTCTCGTTAAAATTTTAGGTGTCAGAAAGGGTACAAATTTGACACATATTTTAACATCCTCCTTTCCAAAGAAATTTTTTTTTTTTTACCACTGCACACATCTCTTTGCCCCTTTAGAAACTTTCCGGGCATTCCGTATACACCGTGTCCATACAGCTATCATGAAAAATGAATATTCCACTTCCCAATTTTCCAAAGAGAATCTCTTCTATCAAAAATACTTTTCTACCCCTTCAGAAATTTTCTCAATACATATCCCGTATACACCGTGTCCACACGGATATAATCCAAACCGTAAAATAGTTTTAAATGGACAATAACAGTTTCTCTCTAACGAAAATTCGAAACATTTGACAAACTTCGATGCTTCGATCTGTATTTTCACTATAAACGAACAAGCAAATAAATAGTTGCAAATACGGTTAATTAGCGATGGGTTCCGGGAATTATCGTCGCTGAAACGAGCATCTAATATTTATTCGAGTATGTCGCGCCACGGAGAGAAAAAATGGCTAATTAATTAAAATCATTCACGCCTGTGCTCGAGGCCAATTAACTGCCTTCGATCGTGTGCAGCTTTAATCAGTTGTTACACAGGGACGCGTGTTGTCGAGGAGGGATTAAAATGTCGATAACGGGTGTACTCTGTTAATTTATCACGTCATTTTGTTAATCGTCGCTATCGCCTCACTACGTCGATGATGCCCTTGCTTTTCAACTTTCTCTGACTGGTTGCTCCTTTTTTTTCTTCTTCTTTCTTTTACCTTCTTCGTCAAATGGGAATTTCATTCACACCGAGGAGCATTGCACTGCGACGAGTCCCGAAAATGTTTTGAAATATTTGTTGGAGCGTGGTTTAGTGGCTCTCCTGGAATCATTTAAATCGTGGAAATATATTTCCGATGATCTTTTTTCTTTTTATGTAGAACTAGTTTTGTCTGTTTAATTTCTGGAATTTTCAGACTTTTAAAAGGGCATCTGAAATTTTTGTATCAATTAAAATTCTGGAAATTTCTCGATTCTTAAACGATACTGTAACAACCATCGACGAGAGACGCGACGAATTCTTCGTCCGACCGAGAGGAAGCGAGAGGGACAGCTGTCTGTCCTTGTCGTCATCGAAATGTTAGGAAGCGACTAGGAAAATTCGAGAAGCGTCTGGCTCGCGATCCACGAAGTTCACGCGTTTCCGTGCGAATGCCCACACGGTATTGCAGCTTGTTGATTAGCCGTGCTTCATTAGCAACTGTCGAATATCGCGGCCACGGACGCACTCGAGAGCATTCTTACTGCGCTCTTTTCGGAGAGGACGAAGGTATCCATCGGTCGCCCATTAGATCGGGGAGAGTACTTACGAAGCTTTGTTATCGGACGTCCTTACAGCCAGGAGAGTACAGGGACTATACCTGGGATCTTCTCTGGAGGAGAGAACGGCTGGATTATCCGCCGGTCTCCTCCTGAAAAGGAGAGTACAGGGGATCTCCTGTACGTCTGAGAATTGCCGAGAGAAGACTGCCAGATGACTCCCCTTGGAATGAAGAGAACGGCTGGACTATCCGCCGGTCGCCTTCCAGGAGGAGCATAGACGGGCTCTCCGCCCGTACGCGTAATATTAACCCTTTGAGTATCAAGGAGCGCAGTCTCGCTCCTCGTATTCGACATCGAAAAATGCCACCGCATCACGCGATGTGTAAATTTTATTCTGTTTCTTTTTATAAAAAATTGAACGAAAATTCTGCACATAATCAATTTTGCCTTTGTTTCGTGTTATTTCCAAACAGTCGTATTCAGTGAAAATGTCGAAAAGAAAATTTTTGGAATTTTTCGACGTCAAATGAAAGGACACAAGCGCCGTTTGCCACTTTTCTGCAGATTTCTGCAATAACCCGTGGCACTCAAACGGTTGAATATTGCGACAGAAGAGTTACGAGCTTGTATTTAATGGCTGTAATTAATGGCTGATTGCAATTACACTCGATCTGTAGTATTCGTCGTCGTAGAAACGAATAAACTTTAGTCTTTCTCACAGAACCTGAGAATCCTATTTCCCTATCCGTATTCCCTACGCATCATCCTACTATTAGGTGTACAAATTAATTCGTGGCCCTTGCGATCAGCTGTAACTTTACTTTCAATTGATTCATTTTCCTGCTGTGTTAGAGTTCTGAAGTTGCTTCTATTAGAAAAACAAAACACTATCGGACTGGATGTGACTAATGACATAACCTAAGAAGCAGCGGAGAACACTATGTCGTCGGATAAACAGCATATTGGACACTGCATCCTTTTTGCATTTCAACTTAAGAAAAGTGCTCTTGAAGCGAAAGGTCTTTGGGGTGGGAAATTCTGCCTCGTGCGGATTATTCCCCAGACTTAGCTCCATCAGACTATTATCTCTTTACCTATTCAAAATTCAAAACATACAAAGATGTCAATAATAGCATTGCTGATTTTATACGTTCGAAACCGCCGTCATTTTTTCGAAAGGGAATTCGCCAACTGCCTGATAAATGGAATACATGTGTAGCAAGTGATGGAGATTATTTCCAACACTGAAAATAAATAAATAACAAATCCACGAAACAAAGGTCACGAATTAATTTGTACACCTAATACGAGGGCGGATTGAAAAGTTGGCGGCCTAAGTGGGAAGAACTGCTGCTAGGTGTTTGCAATTTTTACGGTGTAATCTGTGATCATTTGTGTACCGACGTACGAAGTTTCGTGGCTCTCTTTTACAGCTGGTGAAGTAGGGGTGTTTACAGCGACGGAGAAGAGACGAATAGAAGTGAGGAATGATCCAGTACCTGGTGACAAAGGACATCACCGCAAGGACCTTGAATGATTTTCGCAAGAATTTCGAATAATTTTTGCATGGTCCTTGAATGATCTTTGACGTGAGGTCCTTTATCTTCAGGTAGTAGATCGCTGTTCGTTTTCTAATTTTGTCCATCTCTACTCCATCTACTGCAAATACCTCTACTTCACTAGCTCTAAAAGGGAGAAAAATGACGACAGAGACACGAAACTGTATACATTAGTACACAATTAATTACATACTATTCGGTAAATATTACAAGCACTTAGCTGCAATCCTTCATACCTAGGCCGTGAACTTTTCAATCCACCCTAGTATATTAAATTTCTTTCCATATTGAAAAGTTCGCTAATTTTGAATTTTTGAATCATAAAACGGCACTAAATTTTATCAAATATCAAATGTATTTCGTTTTAAAAAATTTCGAGATCTCAAAATGAAACTTTAACATCTTTCCAATGAAAATATCCCAATTACCCTGTTTGTTTTTCATTGTTTCATGTTTTCTTCGTTTCGTCGTGTTTCGGAGCTGAATATGGTGTCCCAATTTTGGTGTTGTAGGAGCATGTTACGCCGAGTTTGGAGTACGAGTGCCTCACACGACTGGCAGCGCTTACATGTACAGCTACGTGACCGTAGGCGAATTAATAGCATTCATTATTGGATGGAACATGATACTGGAGTACCTTATAGGTACGAGCGCGTGTGCCTGTGCCCTTAGCGCCTGCCTGGACGCCCTAGCGAACGGCGCCGTTTCCGGGGCGATAGCCAACAGCGTGGGAACCATGTTTGGTGAGTCATTCTCTCTCATTCACGTATTTATTCACACTCCTCGTCTAGATTCTCTTTAACATAAGAACGGACTAAAAATTGTTCCTTAAAAAATTCTACAATTACAACGAAAGGTAATGTGACCTCTACAGTGACTAAAAACGGTAGGATTAATTTTTCTTGAGTAACGAACAATTCTTAAATTTGACGGAAACCTAACCTTATTATTTATAATTTTGTGACCTTTTTTGAGGAATTTTTCTGTAGGTAACAGAAGATTGAATTCAGTGGTATTTAGTCAAGTGGAAGGTTAAGTTACATTTTAGTGCAATTTTGGAATTAGCCTCTGTACGAATTGAAAATAAACAAATTTAAAAATTGTAGTTTCGAAGAATCAACAGAGCTATAATCCGTTGGAACATAGAGTTTCACGCATGTGTGTATGCCGGATAAAACTTTAAACGCGTTCTCGTAACTCAAAAAATATTTAACCGATTCTTTTCTACCTTTGCAAACATTTTTAGAAATATCTCCTCCAAGTCGAAATTTTTCGTTCAAGCTGCCGCCATTTTGTCAATTTTACAGTTATTTTCATGAATCGAGGTTTTTTTGTCGCAGATGAATAGAACACTCTGTACTGCACGCCATACAGCAACTTTTTGACTAATGTTTAAATAACTCGTTGAATAAACTTTTATTTCTGCTCACTGATCATTCTTGCTTCAGTCCAAATGTACAAAAAATTACCCAGAAAATTTCAAAAGAATCCATCACGTAGTGTGTCACATAAATTAGTTCTCATCGATTGGGGTTTCCCCCTTAACCTCCATCCTGACCGAAAACCATGGAATTCAATTTTCCATTATTCATGAAAAAATTGCACAGAAAGGATTACAAAATTAATATTCCCTGGCACACAGTGCTGTCTGTAGTGAACCCTTTCTCAATGGAATCTGCATTCCTTGGCAGAGCACGGAGTCGACGGGGCTTCATTTGAAACTCCATATCGCGTCACGGTCGTTGGACAGAGATACAGCGGAGTCATTGTGTCGCTTTTGTTGCTCTCCGTTCGACGGTACGTCGACTCGTTCCACTTGCCTGCTGAATCGTCGACTCGTACCACTCGGTGCGACTCAGTCGTTGACTCATTCCACTCGCATCCGGTGGCTCCATACCGGATTATTCCAGTGGATTTGTTACGTGGTCTGGTTAAACACGCGGGACAAGCCTGAGGAGATCGGATATCCTCCCTCTCTCCTGCCGCGAATTACTCGACGCCTGTGATGTGCCTAACCATACGCGTGCTTGTTCCACTGCGACAGAGGGGAAAGTAGAACGATCTATTCGCGTGTGGCTATCGATTTCGTACGCTGGCTAGGCTTATTCTACACGGGTACAGGGACCACTAGGAGATCATTCTACTTGCGAGATATTGATCAGACAGTGGGCTTTGTTCGGCTGAATGCACGTGGGGCTGCTCCACTGGAACGTGTCCGTTTGAGTGTTTCATTTATTATTTAGACGTTCTACTGGGTTTTCGATGTACGATAGTGCGTTTGGTTATTGTAAGGGCACAGAAATTTCGTAACTAGTGGAATATAATTTTATCGTGAGAATTAATAAATAATGTAGTTTGTTTTTCTTTTTTTTTTTTTGGTAATGTAAAATGAATTTTCGTTTCGAATACAGTGGAAGGATTCTTGGACCGAATTATGGCCCCGTTTAATGGTACCTGTTACACGTACGAATAGTCATAATTTGGCTTTGTTTCAAGATTTATTTCAGGGGAACAGATGTATCGGGATTAATTTTTTTTTCTTACATACAGCTCCTAATGGTATCTTATATATTTTCGATGGACTGTCAGATTTATGCCTCGATATTATAGTGACAGTAAAATATATCTAACTTATATTAAAAATGAGCACAACCTTAATAGTAACCAAGAATTGCAAAATTACTTTTCAACTGCAAGAATAAAGCAATTTCCCTCGCGTAATTAATTTCCCATTGGCCATTGAAAGAATTTCGCTATTACAATAAAAAACAAAAATACAGCCTCTAAAACGCAAAAACCATTTGTTCTGTCGTTATATGTACTCCAAACAACACGATAATTTCATTAAAGAATAACAAAAAATACAACGATGACGATTAAGTTAAAAATTCGGCTGACTAACCGCGAAATCACTACTGTGTCTCACCGAATGTCGAGTTGTGCTACTTGCAGCGCGTCTGACCTTTCCTGGGACGCATTACTGTCCCCAGTGTCGTGCCACAATCTCCCTTTGCCCCGCAGTCATGGTTACACGAGCGTTAGTGATTTTCAGCCCGATTCTAACCCTTTTAAATGGCATAAAGAATATCATATCACTGGGATACCTCATTCAGCTTGACACAGTGAATTTTTTCCCGCTACAGAGGAGCAAGATAATCGGATTTTGTCGCGTTTATGACGACAGATCTGCTGCCACGATTCGATGAAATTAATTTAACGACGAATCGTGGCCCCTTCCCGAGTATACGCGGCGAGAAAGGGTCGGTGGCATTTGTTTCCGGCGACACGTGCGCTCTTTTGACCAGCCGAATCGATCGCTCATCTCGTTTCAGTGGGTGCCTCAATTTCGGTTGCCGAGTAATTCCGTCACATTCAACGATTTCAGCCCCTTTTCATTTTTCTGATATTTTTCGAAAATTTCTTTAGGCAAAAATTTTCGGAAAAATTGACTCTCATCTTTCTTCTCTCTCTCTTTTCTGAAAGTGTATATTTTCTAGCATATAGGGTGGGGCAATAACTCTGTCTATCTTAAACATTTCCGTTATTTTTACTAATATGAAAAAATGTTGTGTATCAAACTTGCATGGCACAAAGGGAGACATATTGTGATTGAAATATTTTTGGCGTGGAGGAGATTTCAACGTTGGCTCTTTAAGGTCACTGAAGATGGCAAAGCGATTATCATTACTTTCGAGTTGTGGATCCACGGATACGTTTATCGTCACTAGCACATGCTGTAATTCATTGACTCTTACCTTTACGTAAACAGAGTCTTGCCGCAATGTTTACGTTTTAATAATACATTGCGTATAGCTACGAACGTAAAAATTGCCGCAATTCACGACACTGCGTGGAATATTGGTAGTCGGTATCAATTGATTGCTGAGTCAGATATCACCGTGGCAATCAAGATGAAGATTTCTTTTGAAAAACAAGTGGGCATGATCCTTATTTATCGAAATATGTTCAAATGCACTCGAACATGTTGTTCGTCGAGAAATAGCTTGTTGAAATCGTCTCAATATCGGCTATCACACTAAAGAAAATACAGCATCCCACTCAACAAAGTAGAGATGACTTTGAAATTTCCTCTGCGCCTCCACCCATGCAAAAAATATTTGTATCGCAATATGTCCTCCTCCATGCCATGCAAGTTTTGTATACATTTTCTCATATTATTACAAATAATAGAAATATTTAAGCCGTACAGAGTTATTGCCCCAGCCTGCATGTGTGTAAAATCTCGTAGCAAAATTTGGGATATTAAGGAACTTATGATAAATTGAAGTAGGGTTCTTTTTGAGGTTATGTTCGTCAAAATGTATGCCGCGATATTTCGAAAACTGTTGTTTCGATTAAGTTCAAATTTGGTATACATGTTCTACAAACATCCTTCTATTATACCCCGTGAGAGTGATAAAAATATATCTCGCAATTTTGTTGAATGAAAAATAAAATTTTAACATATGCTAACTTAACCTACAAAAATGTTTAATTCCTCGTCAAAACTGACTAAACGAGCTCGTGAAATTATTAAGTTAAAAAGTGACAAATTTTCACATGTGCCAGATTAAATGAAAGAAATTACAAGATCACTTTATACGATGGAATTGTCCGTAACAGTTTAGAAACCGCACAGAGGTAGGAAAAAAAGCGGGCAGAACTTTCGTGTCCAATATTCCCTGCTGCCATTTGTCTCTCTTTGTGAAACAAGCTTGGATTCCTTTCTTTCTTCCTTTGTTTCTCACTTCCTGTGTCCAAATCCTCCCATAGAACGAAAAAATCGACCAGCTTAAGCCATTCAAAACGTTTTTTATTCCATTTTATTTTTATCTCTGATATTTTTCGAATTTTTAATTTCATTACACTCCATTTCTTCGTTACAGTTATGCGAATGTTCGCTGTCTTGCTTGTGCATTAATGTTC